ATATATATATATATATATATATATATATATATATATATATATATATATATATATATATATATATATATATATATATATATATATATATATATATATATATATATATATATATATATATATATATATATATATATATATATATATATATATATATATATATATATATAGTTGTTTTTTCCAAATATGTCGTGGGATCTCTGGTGACTAGTTTGTATATTGGGTCGTTCAAAATATCCTCTAATTTTGCATTATAATCCGACGTATTCATGACGACAGTGGCATTTCCTTTGTCTGCTGGCATTATTAGAATGTTTTCGTTTTTGTTTAGATTCCTTAAGGCTTGCATTTCTTCTCTGCTTAAGTTTGGTTGCGGTGGTTTTGACTGTCTTAAGACTCTGGCGACATCTTGCCTAATTAACTCCGCATCTTGTTCGTCTATGGTGGAAAGACTTGCTTCGACGTTGGAAACGATCTCTTCGACGGGTACTCTTTTTGGAGCTATTGCGTAGTTAAATCCTTTATTCAGTACGCTGACTTCTGTATCGGAAAGATGGTATGCTGAAATATTATGAACTGTACTGCTTCGGTTTGTATTTGGCACTTGTCCTGATTTTTTGGAATTTGACTGAAGGATTTCTAATTTCTTCCACAGTTTTTTTGACGTGATGTCCTTGTCTTTCTCAGTGCGCCATGATGTTAATAATTCTATGCGGTCCCACAGCAACTGATGGATCTTGTTGCTCAGTTTCAGGTGGAGTCTGAAAAGTTGTAGCTCAGTCTCACTAATTTCGTACCGGGTCCGCCTGATCTGGTCTTGGAGTAGGGTCTTGCTAGCTTTGTCCAGGATAGCTTGTGTCTTTCTGGTGCGTGTATGATAAGACAACCTTGTAAATGTTGGCAGCAAGTTCTGGTTGCGGCAGTTTTTAAGAAAATTCAAGTTGCACAGCGAAATAACCCTCCTTTGTCTTAGTTTTTCATAACACTTGGTGGCTGTAAAGGTCTCCTTCCCGTAAAGGTGTATGATATTCTCACGTATTGATTCACGGATGGAAAAATATGATGACACTATATTCCGGGATATCATCCGTTCGCTCGTTGAACTCCGACTGGAATCCTGCATCCGACTGGAATCCTGCAGACGTTTCGCCAAAATCTCACTTGGCATCTTCAATGCTCGCGCTCCGAAAACACTTCGAACACTGGGAGGTTATTGGCGGTGCGTGCGGTCTTTATACTCTGCGCCGGAGATGGTAACGGTGCTGCTTGTGCGTGGGGGGAGGTGGCTCCGCCCCCTGAATTGTCGCGTTGTTAATTTCGCCCGATCGTAGTTGCGATGTCCCCGTTGGCTGCTGCGCATCGCTCTGCTGTTTGATTATCGATCTCCACGTGTTGGATAAATGCAACCAAACTTAAGCAGAGAAGAAATGCAAGCCTTAAGGAATCTAAACAAAAACGAAAACATTCTAATAATGCCAGCAGACAAAGGAAATGCCACTGTCGTCATGAATACGTCGGATTATAATGCAAAATTGGAGGATATTTTGAACGACCCAATATACAAACTAGTCACCAGAGATCCCACGACATATTTGGAAAAAACGACTAAGTCCAAAATTCTCGATTCATCAATAAACGAGGATACAAAGAAGAAACTTATTCCGAAGGAAAAATCGAGTCGTTGCCCAAAATTCTACGGGCTCCCAAAGATCCATAAGGACGGGGTTCCCCTGCGTCCAATCGTAAGCGCCTTTAACTCACCATTATGCAAGCTGGAAAAACATCTGGCCAGTGCACTTCAGCCTATAGTGGAAAAGGCAGATTCCTATGTTAGAAACTCAGAACATTTCACTCAGATTTTAGGTTCTCTCAGGATGGACAAGGACGACATTATGGCAAGTTTCGATGTCAAATCCCTCTACCCGAGTATTCCAGTAGAAGAGGCACTCTTGCTTATAGAAGAAAACGAAGATCTTCCGCCATACATAATGGATCTGTCAAGACATTGCCTGAAAAACGCTTACTTTATGCACAACGGAAAAATTTACCGACAAATAGATGGAGCAGCAATGGGATCATCTCTCTCACCTGTGATTGCCAACCTCTTCATGATTTACTTCGAAAAGAAAGCAATAGAGAAAGCAAATCTGAAGCCAAAACTATGGACAAGATACGTTGATGACGTATTTGTTGCATGGCCTTTTGGCAAGGAGGAGCTTTTGAAATTCCTAGATCATCTGAATTCCATTCACCCAAGGATTCAATTTACAATAGAACTTGAAGAGGATAACAGTCTGCCCTTTTTAGATGTGCACATCACAAGGACCGAAGATGGACACTTGGAACACACTGTCTATAGAAAACCAACCCACACTGATAGATATCTGAACGCTAAATCTCATCACCACCCATCACAGATACAGGCAGTGGCAAATACATTAATTGCTCGGTCCTTCAGGCTCACAAACGAGAGGAACAGAGATAAAGAACTGAAGAAAATTAGTACCTGTCTTCGACAAAACGGATACCAAAGGCGCACCATCAGCAAGGCAATCAGTAAACAACAACAGCCGCAGCAGAGAGTGCAGGACGAGACCCAACGAAGATCGATCGCTGTCCTGCCATACATCAAGGGGGTTACTGACAAAATCGGCCGAATATTACGGAAACACGACATATCAACGGCATACAAACCTGACCATACCATCGGAGCAATACTTAGAAACCCAAAACAAAAAATTACTCTGGAAAACCAAGGAGTATACAGTGTAGCATGCGGATCGTGCAGCCTGACGTATGTGGGACAGACCAACAGAAGGATTTCAGCCAGGCTCGAGGAACATCGTTTAGCCATAAGAAACAAACAAACAACATCTGCTTTGTTTCAGCACCAACATCAGACAGGCCATAAAATTGATTTCGGCACTTGCAAACAAATAGCTAATATTCCTGATTTTAGGACTAGGATTATACGAGAGGCCATCGAAATAGAAAAGTCCGGACACCTCAATACGAGAGACGACGCTCTGCATTTATCCAACACGTGGAGAACGATAATCAAACAGCAGAGCGATGCGCAGCAGCCAACGGGGACATCGCAACTACGATCGGGCGAAATTAACAACGCGACAATTCAGGGGGCGGAGCCACCTCCCCCCACGCACAAGCAGCACCGTTACCATCTCCGGCGCAGAGTATAAAGACCGCACGCACCGCCAATAACCTCCCAGTGTTCGAAGTGTTTTCGGAGCGCGAGCATTGAAGATGCCAAGTGAGATTTTGGCGAAACGTCTGCAGGATTCCAGTCGGATGCAGGATTCCAGTCGGAGTTCAACGAGCGAACGGATGATATCCCGGAATATAGTGTCATCATATTTTTTCATCCGTGAATCAATACGTGAGAATATATATATATATATATATATATATATATATATATATATATATATATATATATATATATATATATATATATATATATATATATATATATATATATATATATATATATATGTATATATATATCTACCAATACAAGTAAAATTGATATAAAGCTCTCGTTATCCGAACAATAATTTTCTGTCAGTGACTGTCCAAATAAAAAGAAATAAGTGATCGTTTCTTTATTCAATTTACTTAAACAAAATCCTAAACTAAAAAAATCCATGTTGTCAATCTCTTTATTTTTCGGAAATTGCTACAGAACTCAGTTCATTAAATTCTTAAATGACGCACCATACCCTTGATGAAAGCTCAGCAAGAGCTATAATAAGATTCCATTTGCCAGGTTATATCAACAAAGAACACAGCGAACTGAAGGAACTGTTTATTGTAGTGTTTGTCAATATGTGAAAAATGTATATTCTCAGT